TCCAAAACTTAGCATACTCATGTGTTTTGAATAAGATGTGCTTAACCTCCCCTCTAATGTAATAAATTCTTTTTGCATCATAATTTTAGTTTGTTCTCCCCCTTATATTTATTTTATATGATTTCTTTCTTTCTATATAATATAGCTTTATATCAGTAAACAATTAATTTTATTAATAAGTGGGATCTTGATTGTACTGTTCAACTGCTGGTGCATAATTGGCTGTCAAACTCCTTGGTTATCATTGACCCCCTTTCAAGTTTTGTCAACCTTGTTTGGAACCCCTAGTGCAGAAAATTTATATCCAAAGACATTTACATTTTAATTCCTAATAAATTGGTTCAAACAATTCTGCTGAAGATGTATAAAAATAAAACTATGTGAATCAGCAAGAGATGCAGAGCAAACGAAACTGAAATTTTGGGAAATTTCTTCCAAAGAATATTTACATAAGATATATCTATGTACTTAAGCTAATATAAGCTGTAATTATATAAGCAAAGAATAATTAGATAAGCTATATCAAAATTACTTAAAATAACTTTGTCGAAACATGCCACATTCTACTTCTGTAATTTTTTTTTTTTTTTTTTTTTTTTTTTGCTGGCATGGATTCTGGAAGGTCATTTTTAAGTGTCTGGGAAAAGATTATGCAAGATTTGCAAGCAGAAGTCACACAGCTCCGTAGATTAAAAGGAAGTAATTAAGCAGTTGTAAGCTGATGCTTCTTATCACTATGATTAATAGCTGGCAAATTAGGCCAAGACATCAACTGGAGTTTATCAACATGTTCCTAAAGCCATCCTAGGGCCCACTGAACTGGAAGTTGATCTGTCAGCACTATCGTTATCTTCAGGGCAGATGTTTTTATTTTATCCGGCTTATAATTCCTTACTAAATGTAGTATTTCATCTCGATGTACTCCGTCTTTGATATGACATTTATTATGATTTAAATCAAATTCCTCATCATTATAAATATCACGAATACAAATCAAATAGTTTTCTGGTTGCAATTTTCTAATTTCGGCTATGCGTAATGTATGCTTTACGCATGCGCACGTTGAAAGAAATTCCTAAATATTAAGCTTCTTTTTTTTTGTAATTTTGATACCCTTTAGATTATAATTGCTCACGTTCATATTTTTAATTTTATATTTCTGCATGCCATCTTACCAGATTTAAACTGATGATCTATAATCCGGAAAAATCGATAATCCGGAATCGGCGAAGTCCCGACGAGTCCGGATTAAAGACTTTTGACTGTATATGGAAAATCCGAGTAGCGAGTCTTTTGGTTAAGAAATTACTTTGCATGAAAATATGCTAATTTTTCAAAAGCAAGGTTTTTAAAGATAATATGCTTTAAACTCAATCTGATGGAAAGAAATTCTTAAGAACCTAATTCATTATTAAAAGTATTTTAAACAAAATCATACTATTTGCTTAATGAAAAGAATTTTTTTTTCTCCTTTGCATGATGAAATTGCAAAATTGATAAAATGTTATATTTCACTAATTAAATAGTTTATTCTCCTCCATCAGTAAATATCTAAAATAACCATTCCCAAAATATTACTGTGAATTAATCATATTTAACATTAAACAAAGAGAAGATGCAAATAAAAAGCAGTTAATATCCTTCGGTAGATATCTAAAATAACCATTCCTGAAATGTTACTCTGCAATAATCACATTTGGCATAAAGAAGAGAGAAGATGCATATGAAAAATAGATGATGTCTTGTTATTTAATAAAAATGAGCATTATTTTTTTATATGGGGAAATTTAATTTATAAAAATGGTCATGTAATTACATTTATTTAATTATCATAAGGAGCAGAATTTTTTAGTAGTATAATGATTTAAAATTATGTATAATGTAAAGTTTTAATAATCATTTAATCAAAATAGCTCACTAATAATTGTAGATATCAATTAGAAAATAGCTATAGGAGAGATAAGAAATGAAAAGGCATACGGAGATGAATTCCCATCTTGCCCCCCCCCCGGGAATAGCACCAATGGCCAAGCTGAAATTTTGCTGAACACTGGTAGTTCAACCTAGGTTTGATTCTAAGCAAATGGGCCCCCGGCATGGACTTTCCTCATGTTTAACGTGGTTACGAGCCAGTTTGCTTTAGAAGGTCTTCCACGAAGACATCTTTCCTTTTAAGCAGATAGCCCTAGCATGCTTTTTCATAATCAAATAAACCAAACTCATCTTGCTTGACCCAGTCTGGCACGTAATACTCAGATTAAGAGGACTGTGAAGGAAATGGTGAAAAGACAGTCTTCCACAAGTGACAAGGGGAAAGGAAAATCGGGCAAAATGTCATTTTGAATGAAAGGGCGAAGCAACCAATATTTGCTTCATACTTTGTTAATGTTTCTAAGATTCTTTTTATTCTTATAGTGGCGCTTTTATAGTTTTACCTTTTTTCATTGGTGTGCTAAAAAAATGAATGGTCCTTTTATTCTATCGTTCTCTGAAATACTGTATTCAGGCCTTAAATTCAGCTGGTGCCTGGCTAAGCTATTTCTTATTTTTTCTTATGAAACTTAATTCCAACTGCAGCCACAAATAAGATAACATCCAGTATTTAATTTAGCTATTCATCAAAAATTTAATAAAAATTTAATAATTTATTAAACTTTAAATTGTTTATTTTATTAATTTTATCATTATTTTAATTATTAATTTTAAGATTTTATTTATTGTTTTTCTTTCCTGATGACTTTCTGTAAGGCTTCGGTACTTCTGCTTTTTAGAAATTAAGATCTGTGTATAGGTGCAAATTATTAGAAAAATAGTATTGATAATTATGTTGAAATACTGCTGTTGAATCTTTATTTTGGGTTTTATTAAAAAGAGACTTTAAGCAAATGACATCCAAAGAAATTCTAGGATGGAAGTATTCTGGGAGTTTCTTGAAAAGGATCTTAGTACCTAACTGCTGTTACAGTTAAGCATTGAAGTATCACAAACAAAATTCAGACAAAACTAAAAATATTAGCTTCCAAATTTGGTTATTGAAGTGTACTTTTCATTAATCAGAATGCTAAAATGATATTATTTTTTAATGTGAAGCCATTATACGTATATTTACTTGCGATTAAAAAAAATTAGAGAACTTCATAAATCTGTACATTAAGCATTGATAATTTTGTGATTACTTGCTTCCAAGTAAAAAAAAAAAGAAAGAAAAAAATGCTGCAGTGCGAGTCAAAATCATACGTATGTTGGTTGATTTTTGAGCATAAGATAGAACGGACTTTACTATGGCATCACATAGTGAAACCAAAATGAATCAATCTGAATTGTAAACAATCGTTAGAAATACGGAGAATCAAGGAGGCCGAATTGTTGCCGCATTCCCCACCCTTTAAACCACCATGGGATTGGCCGCTTGGAATCACGTGATCATCGCTCCTCTCTTCAAACCCCCATGCGCACTTTTATCAGTTTGGGGCTGGTTACGAAATTGCAAATATGTCAATCAGAGTATATAGGCACACCGAAATTATGACGGTATAACTACAACTCGGTAATATTAATCTAAATACAGTCTCAAAAAAAAAACCAGATATCGTATTTTTCTGGTTTTTTTTTTTTTTTTTTTTTTTTTTAATATTATAAACTAAAACTAAATGCTTAACAGGCACAATGAGCGGCGATCGTTTCGAGCGATAAATGTCTGACCGATTCCCCCCTCTTAAACTATGAAATCCCTCTCTGGTTTAGAACTTCTGCTTTAGTAAGGGATCTGAAGGTAAGATCCGATTATTGCCGTTGTGTTTTAAGATACCATTAATCATCTGATAATTTTTCATAATTTTTCTTTGCCCCCATAAAAACAAATTAAATGAGGTTGGAAGCTCGGAAAAATAAGCAATCTATTGCCAGTATCTAATTGTCACTGAATTTTAAATATTAATTAGTTTTGTTCCTCCATCCATATTCTTTTTTATCATTTTTCCCCCTAATTGGAAACTATTTTTGATGTGCTATATGAAATGAGATTTCTTGCTTTTCGCTTATTGTTTTCCGTTATTTATTTTCATATTTAAATATGTGATGCATTAATTAGGTCCGATAATAATTAGTTTTTGGACCTGCTTAATGAATCCCATATTTTAGTACGATCTCTAATCGCGTTATGCACTCACTGTGAATATTCCCAATTAATTAACCAAGGACCACGTCCACAGTTAACCTGAAATCACCGCTAATCAGGCAGTAGTTAAAAAAAAAATAATTAAATGAAGTGAATAACAAGGAAAAGAAATAACCGATATTATAATTAATAGAAAGCTATTAGCAATTTACATGTATTTTTAAGTAGTTTAATTTAGAGAATAAGTCCATTTGGCTATGTAAATTAAATGAGCTTCAAAACAGAGAGCACAATATTTTTGTTCATACTACTCCCTAGCATTTTGATAGCGAACAGAAGATTAACGTTGTACGCATAGATTGCTAAGATTAGGGTGATTTATTTCTAAGATAAGGATACTGTTTATCGGGAAGTATCTGTATTCGTAGTATGTTGTCATTACTTTCAAAAAAGTAGCTTTCACTCATATTCTTCGATTTTGTTATGCCGCATCAAACTAATTAACAGACAACAGGAGAATCGCTGATCGTTTAGAATATAAAAACCGGATATTGGAACTTTTTTCAATTCCTCTCCTATCGTATGGTTGGTTCTCTTCCAATTCGATGTACGTCCGTATAATGAACCGCTGATAAGCATGTATATATTCAATGTTAAATAATGAATAAAATTTGATAAGTTCTAAATCATGATTTATCTTTCGATAATTTAGGGAAAAGATCGAAAATTGTTTCTGATAAAAATTCATTTTTTGGAAATCTGTTGTGATGAAATTCATCAAGTTTTTCACTCAAACATTTTGCAATTGTTACCTAGCCCCCGAAGTGCATCATTTGAGCGTTCGAGTTGACAACGCGAGCAGGCAGTAGGGATGCTTGCATCTCATCCGTCATGAAGGGATGTGACTGCTCCAGTCATAAACATGAAATGCCCACTCTGTATGTGTCAGTGATGACCGGTCTTCACGTGAAGTTTTTAGCCTATTGCCATAAGATATATAGTCTTCCTTTCTTAGTAAATAAAGAAGTCTTTTGCTGTAGCACACATCTTCATTTTTCCATTTGAAGAATGGTCTCTCAATGCTATGATACATCTGCTTCCATCTTGCCTTGAAGCCATGGATGAATTAGCTGATACTTCGTACTTAGAAAGCCTAATTTATGATTGTGGAACTTTGGATTGAGAAGTTTTCATAATCACCTATTATTTTAGGAAGGAAGAATTTATTTTTGATGAGATTTCCATTTTTTCTTTTAATCTAAAATATCTATATGTGCTTGGCCATTAAGTTTTAAGAATTATATTGCCCAGCAGTAGTTTTCCGTAAAGGTGAAAGCATAACACTTTTTATACTGTGATAAATAATAAATGCACAGTCTGCTCAACAAACTCGCTTGTATCTAAAAGAATCTGTAAAATTTGCCCAAGTTTAAAAATACGTTATTTTTGCTAATATTTTCGGAAATTTCATACTTTCATCATATCATATATATTAAATATTTTTTATGAATTATTTAAACGTGAATATTGCATTTAGTCTTATTTTCTGTATCAAATTTTGACAGAATGCAAAAACTTTAACTTTGCTGTCAGATGCTAAAAAGAATGTCTCATTTTTAAAGCTAGTTTCAGTTGATATTAATATACAATAATAGTAGGCGAAGACTTTATCCATCCATAATTGACTATGCATATGTGTTGCATAGTACCAGGTTATGAAAGAAAAGCTCTTGATGATGATGATGACGATGATGATGAGGTGAGATCTGACTCTTAACTATTTCACAGACTTTCAAAATCATTAATAAAAATTATCAAAAAATAGCTTTCTGTTAATTAGTAATTTAATAATATTCAGCTAAAGAAAGAGTAGGCTTGTTAAATGATTTAAAACAATAATATTGATCTTTTTATTTTAATATTTTATTGAATGCTGTTACATTCAGAAATGGAAAGCATTTAACATAATATCAAAACCAAAAAGTTGGAGGGAAAAAACTATATGTCTTAGAGCATATCTTTAATGTAATTAATTTAATTTTCCACTTTTATTATTTTGTCTTATATTTATATATTTATAAGTATTAGGAAATTTAGTTGCTGTAAAATTTGTTTCTTTATAGCAACTCAAAGATGAGATTACAGAAGTCACAGCTGAAATGGAAAGGCTGGAAGCCCAGGATGAGTGGTAATGTATTTTTATTACATTTATAAGTAATAATAGAAATCATTTAATAGTGTGAAGAGGTATTTATTATATTATGAAATTCTTTGTATTTCTAGTAAGGGATGAAAGACTATAATAGCATTATTTATTTAATGCACTGAAAATTCAGTATTTTGCTTTAAGTTAATATTGAAGTAGATTTAAGTCTTGACACTAATTTTACCAGTCTTAGCGTACTTTTGTACTTTTAAATTCTGCTATGAGAAGACTTTAATGTACGTTTTAAGAAATAATGTTACTGTTCAATTATTTTAATTATAATATGAAATAAATGCAAGTTATAATTAAAATATGTAATAAATTTGTTAATCTGGATGTATAGTTTGTATACTATGAGGATAATTTGGAAGTTCATGTAATGTGCAATGATGCAAGGAAGTTTTGCATTTTTTAATATGAATATTTCATTAAAATAATTAAATACTGTAAGTATTTCAATTATTTGTAATGCATTTATTATTATAGTAATAATTAAAATAGCTATAGTTTTTAATATTTATAGTTAAGATATTCAAAATTTATAGTATTTTTCAGTTGATGTAGTAATTAGTTTTTAAATTTGATAAACTTAATGAATTTATAATTTGGCCTGTGAAATTTTTAATTTGTAAATTTTGTTTGCATGCGTGTTTATTACTGTGTAAATGTTATATATTCTAAATTAGTTTTCCCTGGTATTCTTAACTAATCAGCATATCTGAAAGACTAGAAATGGTCAGAACATGAGATACTAACATTTTTATTATTTTATGTATAAAATTTTATTAAAGGTGACTAAATTAAAAGGTGGGCCCCATCAAAGTATAAGATTATTATATTCTAGTTTTTTATGAAATTATTATGGTATACTAAATAATAAATTCAAAAGTAATCTTTTCTGGAGCCTCAGTAATTTCATTGTTGTAAAATATAAATAAATCATAAAAGCAGAATTGGATTTTATAAAATTCTCAAAACATTTATACAGTTTTTAATTTCTGTTTGCATTTTTTTCTGTATTTTCCCACATGAAAATTGATTTATGCTAGGTATATTGGTGTTTCCTTATTATAGCGGCTCCCAGGATTGATGGATAATCAACCAAGATATCTTGTTGAAATCTCACCATGTGGTGTTATACCTTGCTACATATTTCATTTTTCAGTTGATTAGCAATTAAATTTTGAGTGCCACTATAACAAGGAAGTACTAGTACATTTTATATTATAATTTAATACATCTGACATTTTGCATTTTAGTGAAAATAAAACTTTTGTTGAATATCATTTGATCAGAAATGCATTTAATATTTTTTAATTAGAGAAAAATAAATATAACTTGCTTCTGCATAGAAAATTCCAGACCTCATCTGTGTGCATATTAATTTTTATTTATTTATTTTGTAACACTTGAGAAACAATTCATCACAACTTTAAGGTTTTAGCATTTGATATTTCTTTCAAATTGAGCAATATATATATTTTCTATGAATAAAATTAGTATTCGTAAAATTATATATATATTTTTTAAATTTCAGCAAAAGTAATACCAAAGCAAAACAATTGTCAACTGGGAAAAAGAAATTTAATATGGATCCTAAAAAGGTAAATAAATTTTTCCATTTGATTTCATGGTTTAAAACTTGATGTTTTTTGTAAGAGTAACTGAATAACTAATGTTTAATAATAGGGAATTGAATATTTGATTGAGCATGGACTTCTGAAGGATACTCCAGAAGATGTAGCTCAGTTTCTCTATAAAGGAGAAGGCCTTAACAAAACTGCGATAGGGGATTATCTTGGTGAAAGGTTGGTTTATATATATTTTTTAATCTGCGTAATGTTTTCTTCGTTTCTAGCAACATTAAAAACTTTTAATGTAAATTATCTTAAAAACAGGAAATGGAGTTAAATCCATTCATAAACAGTTGTAGTTATATTTCCTCCATAACTTTTCGATTGGTTTCAGTCGAAATGTTATAGATCTGAAATTATTTTGGAAATAAAAGATAAGCAGTATTCTCCATAGTTAAATGCATTTAACAAATGAAAGAAAATTTCATAATCATTTGTAGAATATCCAAAATGCAGCAGTCTTTTTTTATACATGGAAACCATGTATAATTGGGAGCTATATGCAAGAGAAGGTTAATTAGTTAATTGAACACAAAATTAAACTTGAAATTTGTAGCAATTTGAGGCCATTATATATAATAAATAATACATTTCAAAAAGTATCAGTGCTAGAATTGTTTAATGAAATTTAATATGTAAAATATAAATAATTAAAAATCTCAAAATTTGAATCGCATAGCTTACTTCCATTTATAGCTTTGTAGAGTAAAACTGATATTTTCTGATTTTGTATTTAGTTAAAATACCCATTTACCTAGTCTGAGATGAAAATGTGACTAGTGATTGTGTAATGAAGTAGAGCCCCTAAAGTTTCTGTTGAAACTGAGGTTTTCTCATTAAAGCATTTCAGTTATATTTTTTATATTGAGCAGAGCATATGAGTGGCTGATGAATGGTTGCAAATATCTGCTAAATTTCAACTGCAAAGCTGTCAGAATTATCTAGCCAAAGTTTCTTATAGTGGTCTTTAGCTTAACAGTTACCCAAACCCAATGGCTGAAGTTTGTTCTTGTAATATGTAATAGCAGAAAAAACACCATATTCATATTGCTAATTGTAATGAAGTATGAGAGTAAGCAGTATATTGATAAATGAAAAATTGCACTTATGCTGTTTCTTTCCGAATTTGTGAAGAAATTTCAAAGAAGTGTCCAATGTCTTTTTAGCTTTCTTGATGTTATCCTATTTTTTAATCAATTTTTCCCTCCTCCCAGTCTTGAAACAGCAAGCCTTTTATATTTTTTTATAATAGCTATGACAAAAAGAATAATATTTCATATTATAGGCATTCGACTAAAATGGAACTATAAATATCTATTTTTCTGCAGCATTTATAGTCCTGCCCCTGTCATTGTTTTCACTTACTGGGTTAAGTTTCACTACTAAAAGACAAAGGTGTCTTGAGCATATTTCTGAACAAAAATCCAGCTCCATCACAATATAAGCTGTATTTAGGGATTTTTTTTTTTTTTTTTTTTTTTTTTAACTTGGAAAATCTGCAAACTTTGTTCAACACGAACCTTTTCAATGTTGCCACATTTAACTACTTACATTTATGAGTAGTTATCCCATGCCTTTTAAGTTTATCATTTTTTATTATGTTTCAGATATTGAACAAATATTTATTGCTCAAGCAATTCTCTCTGAATTTGTGTATTCATAGAGATTAGTTTATGAAATTCTTTGAATGTCTGCTATTCTAGAATGTCCTTCTGTATATTCCGGACTAGCAGTAGTAGAAATTTGTTATTGTCTTAGGTCAAAAAAAGGAATTTACAGGCAAATTTCATTCATACTTAAAAAATGTTTAAATTTCTAAGAGTGGTTGGAGTGATATTATGATTGATTAAATACAACTTTTAAGTTATGGTATGTTTTATGAACATTAAATCTTAATTTTTTTTTTTTTTTTCTGTTTCAGAAATGATTTTAACATTAAGGTGCTTGATGCATTTGTTGAATTGCATGATTTTACCGATTTAATTCTGGTCCAAGCCTTAAGGTAAGGTTTCACAAGCAGTCCAGTAAGATTACTTTTTGTGGTCAAAAGTAGTATTTTGTATGTATTTTTTATGGTAACAGAAATTAACAACCTGTTGTCCTGTGTTTTGTCAGATTAGAAGCTGTAATTGACTGAAAATGTGTAATTCTGTACACTATTATAGAACTAAGGATTATGTAGCTTTGTAAATTTTGTGGTTTATAGGTCATATTTTCCCCAGTTTTGTTTAAAATTTTTCTCATTCTACTTTTTATGTTAAATCTGGATGCTTTCACCTACCTACCTACCTGAAACTTGCCTATACTTTAAGAATTATTTAATCAAAATTTATTCAATATAAAAACATACATTTTTTTAATACAATTACATGCAACAAAAATAATGACAGAATTAAGACAACTGAATACTGGTAGTTTGACCCAGGTTCAAATCCAGCAAACTGGCTGGCTGCATGGCTTGTTTCACCATGTGTGATGTATGAGCCAGTGTCCTTTGTGAAGATATCCCCCTCCTTAAGCTGATGGCCTGTGTGTACTTTGTCATCTTCAGATTACTTAATCTGACCTTATTTGAATTGTTGTGATTTTGATATCCAGTTTTACATTAGCAGTGAGCATTTTTTTATTTACAGTGCTGGATAACTTAGCAGTGAGCATTTTTTTATTACAGTGCTGGATAACTATGTGCATAATTACCTGTGAAATTTGTCCAGCTGTTCTATCTCTGTATTTATTCCTTTCCATACGGAGAACATTTTTTTAAAAGTTATTTCAGGAGTTTGCTGTTAAGTGTTTTGGGAGATTCATTGTGAGTTGTAAAGTATGTTTTGGTGCTATAGATTTATCTTTATATTGCCTAGAATATTCATGATTGCCTCGTAGTTACTCTCTTACATAGGCTACAATTCTGTAAAGAACTGGTTTCTGTTTATGTCGCTGAAAATTATAAATTTTCAAACAAAATTTTTATGCTTAACTCACACAGGACATCCAAATATGAAACTTTTTTGGTAGTTCAGATTTAATTCTGTTTAGAAACTGTTGCTGAGAGCTTATTTATATTGGTAGATTTTTTTCTACTGATTTCTTATCCTTGCTGTCTTTCACTTTATCAAGCCATCCAAGTATTTTGTCTTTATGCTATGATAATATTAAAAATAGCATCAATGAAAGTATAGCTGAAAATTTCAAATTCATGTAGCATTACTAGTGACATCTGAACTGCATAATGATTTTAGATAAATTTCACAAGCAGTCCAGTAAATAAGATAAATTTCAAAACCTTGGAATTTAGAATGATCTGAGATATTCTTTTCTGATGAGAGGCAGATGTTAGTTAAATAGCAATATGTCTAAAAAGCTAAAAAATTTTATTTTAAAAATATTATGTTTACCTATATATGTATATATACTTACCTATATGTGTACATTTTGTAGCCATTGAATTGATTTTTAGATGTTTCAAAAGTTTTAATCTCGGAATTTTCTTTCCTGTTCCTGCTGTTGTCACATTTCATCTTGTTTATGCCTGGATGTGTATTTCTTTGCTTTCCTATGGCATTTTTTCGTAATTCTTTTGAACTTCCCGTTTGTCTGAATTCCCATAGTTTTTGTGTTGAAAATATGATATATGACAAAGAAATACTAGTCCTTTTTAGACTTGTATTACTATCTGTAGAACATGATTAAATTCATTCAGAAATCTCTTATATGCAAATTGGGGCCATGTAAGTTTTGTTTTTGACTCATGGTGCATTGTGTATTTTTTCAACTAGTGTGGGGGTATCTGTTTGCAGCCACTGTGTGTTTGAATAATGGTTTTAATATTTATTGTAAAGTGTGTTTATCTCCAAGTCTGAAAAAAATTAGTAATTGCAACTAACAGTTTCATGTACCATATAGAAATAGTTGTTTTATATGTGAAACCGAGAAAAGGGTTTTGAATGGAATTTCTGGTTATTTGTTAATTTTCATTTTTTTAAACTTTAATTTATTTTTGACTATCATGGTAGTCATAATAATCATACTTCATTTTGTTTTTCATGGTCTTATATATTATGGTGTGTTTATTTCAAAATAACTTTATATTTAAGATTCAGTAATTAATTCATCTTTGATTTAATTGTTCTGATCCTAATGAACAGTTATACTGTTTTAAGTTTCACTAAATGATGTTGACTTGTAGCTTTAAGTGGCTCAGATTTATATACCTCAAAATTTAAACATGTATATCTATCATGGTAGAAAAAGGTCAGTTTCCTGTTAGCAAATTTTGAGGAAAATTTATTTTAGTAGCGTGTTTTAATCATGTATTTTAAGAAATACTATTTTTCTTTATTTGAAAATGTGTGTAGTTATTTCATGTTTTAATGCACGTATCAAATATGTTATGATAGATCTTGGTAAAGAAAGGAAAATGTGTATAGTTTTGGTGAAGGTAAAAAGAATGTTGCTATTTTAATGCCACATGTCATTAAATATATTAGAAGGAATCCTTTTATGATATTGATGTCATATTAAACGACTGAAAATTAATCTGATTGAAAATATAATAATGGAAGCACTTTATGCCTCTATCTGGCTGTTAAAAATTCATGAATTTATTGTGAGTGCAAAAATCTCAAAATAGAACATTTTGGGACATTGTCCTTTTTTCTACAAATTTATATGTTCTAGATTTTTAAATGAATATTTACCCTGCTTTTGATGTAAGATCCTTTATCTAACTGAACCATTTATCCTGGATGTATTTATTACATTTTAATAACAGGCAATTTTTATGGAGCTTCCGTCTTCCTGGTGAAGCACAAAAAATTGATCGCATGATGGAAAAATTTGCTCAGCGATATTGTCAGCTAAATCCAGGAGTATTTAGCAATACAGGTAATGTGAAAGAAAAGTTTTCAGTTAATTTATTTAAAGAATGTTTTTATCTTTGTATTACTTCAAGCACATGTTACTGTATGAATTATTTCTTCCTATCTTTCAGACACATGCTATGTCCTTTCCTTTGCAATTATCATGTTGAATACTTCTTTACATAACCCTAGTGTTAAGGAAAAGCCCACAGTGGAGCAATTCATAACAATGAATCGAGGTATAAATAATGGTGGGGATCTTCCTAGAGAATTATTAGAGGTATGTATATATATATATATATATATATTGTCAATCAATTTTCTAAGTGCTGTTGAATTTTTGTTCATTTGATAAATGAATGTTATGCTTTGCTTACCTTCAAAAAGTGCTTTATAAGTAGTACGTTATGATTTTTGTAATGTATATATTTATACGAATTTTTTGCTCTCTTTCAGGGATTATATGATAACATTAAACAAGAACCATTTAAAATTCCTGAAGATGATGGAAATGACTTGATGCACACATTTTTTAATCCAGATAGAGAAGGATGGCTGTGGAAACAAGGTAAGAGTAAAAATATATTTTCAAAACTATAATCAATAAATTAATTAAATATTAATTTTTTAAATTGCTAAATATTTTAAAAAGTAATAAAATTTATGCATATTATTTCACTGCAGATTTTTAAAAGCAGTTGTAGTTCTGGTTCTGTGATTTTAAATTTTATCATTCCTTGCACTTAATGCTGATTTCCCTTTTGCAGCTTTGTAATTTTTTTTCCCCCTCTAGTTTTTTATGGCACAATTTTCTTAATTTTGTAGATATTTCCTCAAACTTTCTTAAAAAAAAATTAATTGCATTTTGTTTTATACTGCTAGATTTAGACTTTATATTTTAACCAAGGTAATTTATGCAAACTGGAGTGTGTTCTGTTGCACTGTGTTTGCTTCATGCATTGTTTATGATGTAACATTGCACAACTGTCTGCAAATGCTTCTTTACAATTTCCTATTTTACTGATATCATTAGATTTTGAAATGCTATTTGTATTTATTAAATTTTTTACAAGTTGAAATTTTAAACTTTATTTCCTGTAAGTTTGACCATTAAAAAAGGAAAATTTATTGTTTTCTGGAGGTTTTTGCATTTCATTTTGGATCGGTTTCTGAACATTAATATTTTTAAAGTTTATAAATTCATATTTTCACTGGTATTTGAAATAAATAAAAATATACTCATAATTAATTTTTCCATTTTGTGAAAAAATTTAATAGGTTGTCTTTAAGCACATGTATGAATTTTGGATAGTTATATTATCTTGTTAACGTGATATTTGTTCTCCAGTTATTTGAAAACATGATATTTCTTTTATGCAACTCAAATTCAGGGAGTTCAAAAATCAGTAAGTTGATTGTACAAGACATTTGATGTTCGCGTTGCCAGTTGCTTTTTCACCTGCTGTGCATTTCCTGCTGCTGCTGCTGCTTTATTTATTTCCTGCTTTAAATGTTAAATTTTTGCATTTCCCTTAAAACCCATATTTTTTGGAGAAAAGCACCTGTTCCACCTTATAATTCCGCATGATTGTTGAGTTATAATTTAAATAAGGAATTGTCTTTTTTTTTTTTTTTTTTTTTTTTTTTTTTTTTGTTTGGGCTGCCAAACTTTTGTACATAACTATTTTTTTTTTTTAAATAAAATGTAACTGCATGTAAAATATTCAAATATTTAGAGGTAAAAAAAGAAACTACTAGTTTAATAAAAAATATTTTTACTCTATTTGTTATTAAGTTTTTGTTTCTTTTAAATTAACAATTTTGGCTAGCAAATTTGCTTTATATTCAGCATGCATTTATTTGTTAACTTAATAACACCAATTACTTTGTACTTCATTTTTAATATTTGTTACATACATTTAGTATGTTCTAGTTAATTATGATTTTGTATGTGAAAATGGAGCTTCTCAATATCTCATTTTTATGTTTGTGTTCTGTGTATGTATAAAGAATTTTACTGCTATATTTCATATTCATTCATAATAAACTAAGAATTTTTAATTGTCTATATTGTCTAATGAAGCATTTTAATTATATTTTATAAATTGTACAAGTTTCTTTTAGTTACATCTAATCATTTGTTTTAATAGGTGGGAGATATAAAAGTTGGAAAAGAAGATGGTTTATCTTAAATGATAATTGTTTGTATTACTTCGAATATACAACGGTATGTTCATTAGGTTCTACATATAATTTTAATGAAATATCTGTGTTATGAGTTTGCCTGCAGTTTATTTAAAATAGCCATTAATGTCATTCAATTGTTTTTCTTTTCTTGGATTCTAATGGTATCTAATTTCATTTGTAGGACAAAGAGCCTCGAGGCATTATTCCTCTTGAAAATGTTCAGGTTCGTGAAGTTCAAGATCGCAACAAGCTCAATTGTTTTGAATTATTTTCTGTGGGAAGTGATGTTATAAAAGCTTGTAAAACTGATTCTGAAGGAAAAGTTGTTGAAGGAAAGCATACTGTATACAGAATGTCTGCTGCTACCCCCGAAGAAAAAGATGAGTGGATGAAATGTATTAGGTATACTTACTTACTTTACTACTTAATTTTGGAGATTTTCTTTTATGTATATAGTATGAATTTATTTCCATAAACCATTGTTATTAGTAGAACTGTTTATTATTTGTTAGGTAATTAAAAAAAATTCTGAACAATTGTAGCACATACTGAAGGCAGGAAGAAAAATTATTCTAACTGGTTAATTGTTGCAAATAATTTACATGTGATAATAACATTAAAAACATTCTTCGTAATTGTACTTGTATTATTTGTTCTGTTAAAAATTTTGTTTTTAATTTTTTTTTCACATTTTTGGAAGTTCAGTTGATTTTTAAATGATGCAGAGATTTTGATTACTGTGAAACAACTGAATTGCACACATTTTGATATTATGTATATTAATTTGCTGTATATGTGATTTTGTGATAAAGTAAATCGAGAGCATGAACTGTTCCTGTCCATAACTGTGTCTTCTGTTTACTATATAAATAGTCTATCTGTACTACATTAATATTGCTTTATATCATTCAACAGAGCTTAAATTGCTCCGGTACTTCTTAGTTTTCGAGATAAATTATAATTTCAGCAAGAGCTCAATAAATAAATAGGCTCCCGCACTTCTTTTATGTAAATGAAACACAATTTTTTAGTACATAAGTTTTGTTTTAATAGTAAACGTGCCTTAAAAATTAATTCTAACATCTGAATGCAGGCCTGGTCTTTCTCTCACACTCAAGCCTTGTACAGAGGTTGAGACTTTTAAAGAAAAGAAAGCCCCCAATTTTACGTCAAAGGCTTAATCTCCAGACTATGCAATAAATTTATGAGAACGGGTAAATTTTGTATTTCTCAAAGAACTAAAAGTGATAGCCTGGTTGTGAACTTTCCATTCTAGTGATTTCCTACTGCAAAGCCCCTGTAGACTTTCTGAATGATGTAACCAAATGGGGAGACTACTACTGTCACTTGTACAGAGAAGTCATATTTATTCTCACATTGAATTCAGGGAAAATTTCTGCTTGACGGATAGAATTATATTGACAGGGCATCACAATCAGAAAGTCTTGAATTCTTCTCTCTTTATTTTCAAAGCAACACTTTTTTGTTAAATTTCTTTCCATATCCTCATACTGTTTCTAGAATTCTCACTATTCTCCTAAATGGAGCTTTAATCATTTTATCCCTTTTCCTTGTTGTGCTGGAAAAAAAAAAAAAGTGGTACCTATCATCCTTTGGAACAGTACATTATACGTATAATCAGGGCTTAAACTCAGACGGAGATCGGCTGAGCTGCTTTTTAGCATCTAAGTGGAATTGTAATTCCAGCCGATGCCTCACGTAAGACAAGGTCCAATACTTTTTTCTATTTATTTATTTAAAATTAAATTAATAATTTATTAGATTTCTCTTTATATCTCTACATTTTCTTAATTTTAATTGATTATTTAATTATTTAAATTTTTTAGCTATTTTATTTATTTGGTTTTTCTTTCCTTCCTCACAGTCTTCCATAAGGCTCAGGCACTTCTAATTTTAGAAATTAAATCCTGTTATTCAAGACAGTTTAGGTATTATAAACATTACTAACACTAGACATTAAAAAATTATAAAGTTTTGCAACAATTTAATGTATAATTTATCATACTAAATGGTAGACTTTGTATTGTTGTTGTGAGCTACAGGATCGTGGATGTTTCAGAGCCGGGACAAGGGTGAGGCAAGTCAGCCACTTGCCTCAGGTGAATCACTAGAAGGGGTGCCAAATAGGCTTAAGAATTCAAAAATTACTTTAATTATGTTTTTAAATTTGTCAGTTATTATTAGGGAAAATAAGCTTCGGCAAACTTAAATTAATAAAACAATAGGAAGAATTATAATAAAACCTGGAAATTAATGCAATGTGCATTTTGATGTTATTTCTTATGTATATAAAAAAATTTTTTTTAACATTTTCATTTGAAAGTTATAAATAATTGGCTATCTTATTTTTCTGAATTTATAAAGCAACGATTCAAAATATTTTAAGAATTATGGTATAATTATGCTATTTTGATTTCGTACTTTACCTTTGTTTAATACAAATATAGCTATTTTGATATGTATGTAGGGGCACGCATTTATCGTTTTGCCTCAGGTGAAAAAATATATTGGCAGGACTCTGGTTTCAGATAAAAAGTCCAGATAAGCAAAAAGAGCACTACAATTTATTATGAAAGTCAGCGTTATATATAATATGCACAGTGCAATGAGTAGCTAGAAATAACTCAAGGAGAATACAGATATTTAGTGATTCCTCCGTAGCACACAATATGTCTCGTAAAGTTCCTCTAACCACTCTCAGGGTAAACCTTAACTCATAATTCAGCTACTCATTAAATCTCATAGCTGATTCACAACTTCACTCTCCCAGATGTCTAACCCATATTTATACACTGTAGCATGGGCTGTAAAAATTTCTGTAGGAATCGGTCATGGGACGCTAAGTATTGTTTTCGCAGATCTTCTGGAAAGTCGTAAATTGCCACAAGGCCCTTCAGGAATGAAATTGCATAGATCTCACATTCTAATTGAGCTATTGTTGCACTCAGAATTAAAAGATTTCCAATTTCATGTAAATAAATAAAATATTACCAAACAGCTAAAAAAAATTCTGTCAGAAGAGATTCAAATATTTACATGTATTCGCAGTATGTGTATTTAGGTATAAATGAGATATATAGCTTTTTCATGGTTGTTTGAATATTTTTACTATGCATTTAATCTGCTAGTTTTTAAAATTGCTACAATTTTCTTGTACAGTCAAAAGTCGTTAATTCGGACACCCATAATCCGGAATGATCTATAATCCGGACCTCAAAGCTACAAACTTTCTGCGCATGCGTCGCGTTCACGCATGCGCACAGGCGTTTACGAGAGCGCGTAAGACCCTTATGGCTGCGAATATGTTTGTGCGCATGCGCGTTTAATGTGTAACGGAGTTATACGCTAAGCTAAAGTTATCTAATTCAGTTAATGTTGCAGATTGCGTTGTTGCTTAATCTTCGAATTGGATCCGGCTTATTATTTTTGCAAACTGTTAGAGCAATTTTATAAAAGTAAGCTTGAACTTTCGATTATGTCAAATAGAATTTCCGATATATATTTACTACAAAGCGAAAGTATGTTTTGAAATCCGAAATCTGTTTATCAATTTCACGCTGCTCTGCGGCAGAGGGGGGGGGCAGAAACGTCATTATTAGATTATGATAGATTAGAAAGATTATGTCAAACAGAATTTCCAATATATATTTACTAGGTACTTTTCCGTTTCGCCGGCGCAAACCTCGCCATTTCCCTTTCTCCGGCGCAAATCTCGCCAAGCAGACCTTATTGGCGACAACACACAGTATACACATAAAAAAAATGTTAAGAAATGTTAATTCTAAGAATTTTAAACATTTTTTTATTTTGGAGGCATAAACATTTTAATATCGTTTAGAATTTTTTCAAATGGGTCTTTTGTGTCCTTTCGCCACATAAATTCGGCGAGGTAACTTTCCAGATGATTCCGAGCAGTTCCTCTGTGTTTCTTATTCCGTCATTTTGCGCTTCCCCATAGTCTTTAAATTTTTTGCGTGTGCGTTCCAGTTTCCGGATCTACAAAATTGTATTTATGGTTCACTTTGAAATGTTCGAAACTTTCCTCTTCCAGTTTTTCAATGCAATATCATTTCCATGAATCGGAATATATTGTAGTTCCTTTTTCGATGTTTTCATTTATTGCCTCTAATATAATACTCATGGATCGGTTTGGCACCATCACAAGGAAGCATTCGTTTGTTTCACGACAAACTCCACCAAAGATCCACTGTTGTGGTAAAATCCGTCCCGCGTTGTTTTTGCGCTTCGAGAACATACTTTCATCCACTTCAACGATCATACCAGGGCCTCCTATTTTGCGTTGTTGACATTTAAGTAAAGAATCCACACGAACCTCTCGCATGTAGTTATTCCAATCCACAACTGTTCCGTGACTGATTTCCAACTGCTTTTCACACCATTTAACTGAAGTTAATTCTTCACTCCAACCATAAATGAATCTTAAACACTTCAAGAAACTCAATCTCGATGATTCAAACCATGTGCCTTTCCGTATACTTCTTTTACTGCGGCAAGTTGAAAGGTTGCAACGCCATTGAATTTCGTCTCCGAAATATAATTTCATTTCATGATTATTTTCACAAATAGCAATGTTAGGCAAAACGCCTTTCGCTTGAAAGAATCTGACGGATTCTTCCTCTGTCCTGGGCAAATCCCAAATTTTCATTGGTTTTTCATCCATTTTTGACATATTTGTAAAAGACGTTAATTTTAGAATTGAAAGACGTTAAATTAAAGATTTGCTATGCTTTCATGGTATAACCTCTTGATTCGCAGTTTAATATCACGTGATCCCAAACGATCTCATCTAACGTAAAATACGCTACAAAAATCTGATTCTCTCAGGAATTATCTACATTAATTTCAAGTTAAATCTCAGTATGGAATACGAGTTTAAATGCAAGAATTATTTCAATATTATAATTTAAAAAATTCTATGTAACTGTATGCCAATATTGAAAAAAAAAAGGTAAATCTGATAATAAATCTCAGCGACTTGTTTTGAAAAAGTGCCCTGAAAGGTTATCAGCGAAGATATTCGCTTTGGCATCAGTTCTACCATTTTCGGCGACTTTATCGCTTGCGTCGGCGAAATGGGAAATTGCGCCGGCCAAACGGAAAAGTACCATTTACTAATATGTAATTTGTATCTACAAAGCGAAAGTATTGTTTTGAAATCCGAAATCTGTTTATCAATTTCACACCGCGGATTGGAAGTTGATCTGTCAACACTATCCTTATCTTCAGAGCAGATGTTTTTATTTTATTTGGATTATAATTCAGTACTAAGTTTAGTATTTCATCTCGATGTACTCCGTCTTTGATATGATTTAAATCAAGTTCCTGGTCATTATAATTCGCTTCCGACAGTGAAGAAAGTGACCCAGAGGTTTATTGAAAACATTTCGATTGACAAATTAGTCGGTATTCTCAACACAGCAATTATAGGACTTGAACAGCGGAACTTTGTAACTAAACAAGAAATTATGTCTGTTTAATAGAATTAAAGAGAAAGTATTATCACATGAAACGAAGCAACTTACATTGAAGGAAATGTTTAATAAAGTAAACAAATAAATATTAAGTTTTTTTCTTTTTGTAAATTTTGATATCCTTTAGATCATAATTGTTCTTTATTTCATAAATTACGGTTTCATATTTTTAATTTTGTAATTTTTGCATGCCATCTTACCAAATTTAAACTGATGATCTATAATCCGGAAAAATCAATAATCCGGAATCGCCGAAGTCCCGACGAGTCCGGATTAACGACTTTTGACTGTACATTTCTTTAAAATAATCCTCATATAACTTTAGCAGAGCTATTTAAACCTATATAACTCAAGGACAACTGTGTTGTTATTATTTTAATTAGAATTTGATATAGAATTTTAAATACTGAAAATTCAGTATTTGGTTCATTTGATCATTTTATAATGTATTTCAAATTTACATGATTTAAAATGGCAGCATATAATATATTTATAATTAAAATTCATTTAATAAGGAATATTGAATAATGTAATGGATTTAGAATAAAATTAGTGGATGCAGATTGCTGTGCATTTTTTCTTTATATTTGTTTTACATAAATTAAGTGACTTTTCTAAATATATTTTCTGTCTTGTATACAAAATTAAGTCTCTCTACAATGTCTTTCAACCAGAACTATTCAGAAAATTGTTTTTGAATTAACTATTCAGAAATTTGTTTTTGAATAAAGCGCATATTATTCCCATAATTGTCATGAAACATTTAATATATCATGACTGATTAATATTGAAATTCTGAAGTACATAGCTGGATTGTTAATTTAATTATTATCTACAAAATCAGCATTGAAGAATTACTTTAAGAAGGTGCATACACCACCAATTTCTTTTACTGTCATTTTTAGTTGGGGAAACAAAGTAATGAGAGCTTGCTTATGCTTGCATTTTAAATAAATTATTTGAAATTTCTGTTGACATACTATTGCATTATTTGTAATTTTTCTGTGATTAGGCAAACACATTAAAGTTATGTAGCTGAATATAAGTAAATTGCATCCTAATGATGAGCGTGTCAATGAAATCATTTAATATTTTCAAGAAATCGGTTGTTATTTCTGCCATTGGGTGATGAATCATTTTCAAGATACATTCTCAGTTATAGGAAGGGAACCGGGAACTTTTTCAATGTTTTATGATGCATTTACCAAAACAAAAATTTCCAACATATTTTTAATATAAAAAATTTTCAATATTAAATCCGTTTTTATTGATTATATTGTAAACAGCTATCATTCCAACATAACATTACGGAGGATAAAATGTGTCTTCTGTGTTAAATTAGTTTTGGTGTTTTAAATTTTTTAGCGTTCTTTTGCTGCTTCTGCAGTTTCTTGTTAGTTTATTTATACTAAATTAATTGTTAAATTTAATAGAACTAGTTAGCTTTATTTTTAATTAAACTTTGCAGTTGTGGGAGGTTTGTTTAGTGATGTTGAAAGAGATTTCCAGTTTATATGAAATATATTTATTATGTTTTGTTAATTAGAAATATAAATAAAATGAATCTCTCTCTCTCTTTTTTTATTTATTTATTATTATTAAGCAGTTTTGATATTTGTCTTTCCCCTCTTCTAGGCAAAGTATTAGTCACAATCCATTTTATGACATGTTGGCTGCCAGGAAAAGAAAGGCTCAACATGTCAAATAAATTGTAGGCATTCTGGTTGAATGTGTAAGTCATGATCTTCTGCCAATATTTAAAGGATCAAGAGTTAGCAACTTAATTGGAGTTCCATCTGTTACTACTTCCATGGTCATAAAAGTTTGGTTGCATCTCTTGCCTTTTCATCTTATCTCATACCTCAGTCATCTTTCACAGTAATGTTTGTTTTATGTGTATGAATTAAAAGAGATGTATTTATTTTTACTATGTACATTTCTAATGATGTGGAGTGCCAAAGAAAATGAATTGTATGTGGGATGAAATTTTGGCACTAGGACTTCAGATTTTGAATAAACATGCCTTAGTGTATTAACTATTTATCATCTCTCTTCCGCCACATGGAAAGTCACTTTTTCTACCTTTTATTATACTTAATAGTATTTTAGTTTCATTATAAAAGCATGCAGTTCTAATGTTTGAAGTGATGAAAATAGTCATTATGCAATTTCACAGTTAGAGTTGCAATTGGAATGATAATATAAATTTATTATTATTGTTGTTATCTTTCTTTTTTGTTATGCAAAGTAATGTGACCTAAAATATATTTTTTGTTTGTGAATGTTTTGAATGGAATGGGATAAAATTGTATAAATATTAGAAATTATTTTCTTTTGAGTCAATGTTTAGTCATTCTTGATTATATAACTGGCTTTCCCAAAATATCTCAGCACAAGATGCTTAGTACTATTGGTGGCATTTTGTAGTGATAAGCTAGCTGCTGTAATAAATTGTGATTATGACTTTTTTTGTGTAAAAATATGTACATTTAATATGTAATTATCTGTTGTGTGTGTTGTCTTTACAGTGATAATTGAAGAATTTTTGTGTGGCATTGTGGTGTAATTGATAAAAGTCCTTGTGCTGAGATTGATGAAATTATTTTATATTTTTTAATTCTTATTGTAAAGAATCAAATTTTCAGGTGCAAGAATGTTTGTCATTTGTATCATTGTGAATTAAAGAATCAAATTTTCAGGTGCAAGAATGTTTGTCATTTGTATCATTGTGAATTAATTATAAATAAATTTATTTCCATGATTTTTATGAAGAAGGTGAACACATTATAACATAATATAAATCTGTTAAATGCTTGAATGGAATCGCACAATAATTCTTCCTTATAAATGTGATATTTTAGTTTTCAAATTTTGATTATCTTATTCTCTGGAAGAAATTTATTATTTCACATAAGAGATTTAAAATGCTTTCATTTGCAAAGTAATAATTTTGTGTGTGTGTGTAATCTATCTGAAAATTATGCATAGGAGACAAATTTTAAATGCTGCCCCTTTTTTACGATTTTAATGATGTTGACCATAATTTAATCAACTTAAGTATGGATACTGTATGTTTTTGAAATTAAAGTTGTTGAGTTCCCATTAAAATCCATGCCTGTGTTTAAATGCTGTATATCAAAATATGACGCCTTTGTTTTTATGTAAATATTTTTTTTGTATCAAATTAATGTATATAGTAAAGCATATCAAATTTCCGTACATACAAATATATATATATACATTCATACCAGCCATGCTTTAAAGTATTCTTAAATATTCTATTATAAATAATTTATAATATACATTTTGTAAATAATATATATAGAAACTGTGTTATGGCAAAAAATTTAGTTTTGAACAGATTTTATTTGCTTTTTGTTTGTATTATAAAAAAAAATTTCTTAAATTTTAGCTTGCTTTTTGGCGAGCTCTTTAAGCATGAACTGTAAAATACAATAGTTTGTACATGTAAATGCACAATTTGTATTCTCTATTGAGAAAAATAAAGTCACTTGTGAATGTAACTGCTTTTTGCTGTCTAAAACATAATATAGTTTATATGATATCTTTGATTCTTTGTGTACTTACACTACACCCTTATACTTACATTTGCTGTATGAATGAAAAATTATACATGTATGAAAATCAACAGTTACTGAGTAATTCAGCCATTGGCTATCTTCTGTTAAAATTCTATTAACAGAGATGAAATTACCTTAACTACCCAGTCATAACAGAAGCTTGTTGTTCATTTCTTTCCTCTCAAGAAACTTGGCATCAACTGACATAATTTTGATCCAGATACAGCCTGAATTCTGGTTTTTTTTACTCCAAGAAATCTGGAATTTTCAGATTTATGAAACATAGACTCATTAGTTTTAATAAATTTTGTTTTAGAAGAAGTATATCATCTGGAGATTATGAAAATTTAAACTTTTAGACTATATAAATTTCAGTGAGAAATGAAACTTCTTGTATGAGCAAATATTTTGCTCAAATAAAAATGTATCTTGTATAGGAATGTTATTTTTGCTATTTGTGTTATACAAGAACAGAAAAAACCTTATATGAAATTTTGGCTGAAATATTTAGGCTAAAAGAAGATAGAAAACTTAAATACTCTGCACTGGTTAAATCTGTTTTAACTTGCTTTTATAGACCCATTGTTAAGCTCATTTATTTATATGAATGGTATTTTGACAAAATGTAAAACATTCTTGACTACCAATAACCCAGATGCTACTCATACTGTGAAATATTCATTCTCATTGCACAAAAAATACAGAAAATCCAGGGTTCATTCGGCCCTTAAGAATCCAAAAGTCCTTAGGTTTTTTTTTAAATTGATTTTTGGTCCTTAAAAGTCTTTAATTTCGATCAAATTCGGAAGTCCTTAATTTTAATCATCTGAAATTTCTGTCTGTTTTTACAATTGCCATTTTGAAAGTGAATTGGCATTTTGGACAAATATTTGTGGCTATTCATTGAAAAATGTAGTTATCTGTTGAATGGATGAATAGGTTTATGGATTATAATTTGCTCCTAGTTCTAATATAAATGGTGGGATACTCCAGTTTCTGAGGAAGAAGTGAAACATAAGCATTTTGAAATTATTTAATTTTTTTCTAATGAACAGCTCTTAAACAACTTTTCGCTTTTGGGAATGTGAATTCTGTATTAAAGAGTTCCAAATTTGGCGATTTATCAACATTTTGGCAAATTTAAGATCAGTTTCTATAAAAAAAAATTTAATTCAGAAATCTGGGAATTTTTGAGCAATATTTTTTTAAAAACATTATAACATTGATAAGTTTCATTAAAATAAGGCTAATATATTGAAACTGTATTCAAGAAATAACATTAAAATGAAACATTTTCATTTTTCTCTATCATATTATAAAGTGACATTACTTTCCCTTTTGGCGACATATATAATATTTTGAATCTGAAAAATAAACAAGGTAATAAATACTTAAATTGGGCTGTAGCATAATTCTTAGCAAAATAGCTATGTAATTAATTAAAAATACCTTCATTTTAATTTTTCCTGTGTAATTATCTCAGTATGCATCAATTTTCTCTATAAAATTGATATTACACTTTTTCCTCTGTTTTTTTAAACTCAAAAATAAAGATAAATAGAAGATGTTTATTGGGACATCTGTAAAAATATGATACAGAAATTTCACACTTAGTTAGAAAAGTTGCCAATAGGTGGTGCTATATGCTGTATTACAAAAAAGGAGTCCCTGTAACGAGTGACCTGAAATCCGTAGCGACCAGTCTGCTTACAGTTCCACTGTTAAAACGTGAAAGAACGTTAGGTTATTGAAGGACGTGCATGAAATCATGTATTCCCAGATTAAATTACAGTCCTACAGCAACAAGGCGCAGTTTTTAACCCCGATTTAACATTTCAGAAGGTCCTGATTCAAAAACTATTCGTGGGCTTTTTGATAAATTTCAAGGAACAGGAAGCATGGCTGATGAATTATTGGGGAATGTTGGTCCCAGGCACTCAGCAGGCATGCTCCTAACGATTGATGATGACGGATTCTCTGTTGGCTGAATATGGTTCACAGATGAACTACATTTGCACATGAATGGTGTCATGAACAAACAAAATTGGTGAGTTTCAACTGCTGAAAACCCCCATTTGCAATTTTATTAACCTCTTCGCCGTCCATAGCGCGTTCAAGTGAAGGGGCCGTAACGAGCTTCAAGCGTTTTACATTTTAAATGCTTTCTAAATGTTTACTTATTTGAGTTTTAATTTTTGTTTGTTCTAATACCTTTTAGAGGGCAGCACTAATCAGGCATTCTATTTCTAATTGAATTTGCCCTGGGTTTTATGAATATTCGCCCCATTTTACATAAGATACAAGACAGTGAGAGATGGATTCAACATCTACTCAACAGAAAAAGAAAAAAAAAATGATGTTGTGAATTGGAAAGACAAGAATGATATACGTTTGATGTAGTTACTCCTGAAAATGTCGCGAGAGTTTCTACACTTATTCAGGAAAATCCAAAGAACTCCATCTGAAGGCTTGCAGCAGAATCCGCCTTAACAGCATGCACAGAATACTGAGAAACAGGTTACACATGTATCTGTTCAAGATCCAATGTCACCAAACCATTCTCGTTTGAGCTGTGCAACAGAGAAAAGACTTCATGAATGAATACGTTTGATGAGTACAGTCCATAATAAATCGATGATTGATGTTGATGTTAGAACAGGGAAAAGAACTGTAAAAAACCAATAATTGTAAAAGATTACAACAACAAAACGGGAGGAGTGGACCGCCTGGATCAGATGATATCAAATTATCCTACTGTTAGAAATAAGCAGAGATATTATTATTTTTTTATTTATTATACTTTATTTCCTTATAATTTTACTTACTATTCATTGACATTCATCCACTACGAAAGTTATGATGTACAGAGAAAACAACATTACACGCTATGAAAAACAGACAGCCGCTGGGGAGAAATTTTCGCGGACAGGAGAGGACGGCTAAAGGGTTTATTAAAAATGCCTTGGTTTTAATTTTTTTAAAAACTGCTACATTCCCCAAAAGTTACTGTTTGGGTTGCAGTATCCAGCAAAGACGTTATTGGCCTCGTCTTGTGAGAAAGATCACTTCTGACCTTTATGTTGAAATGTTGGAGCAATTTATCACCACACTGTTAGCATTGAGGATGAATCAGGCGCTTTGTAGTTCATGCAAGATGGAGCCCGACCGCACCGAACAGCTGTTCCAGTTCCTTGAGGAATACGTTGGGGATAAAGTTATTGCTATGGGCTATTCCAAATTTACTGGAACAGGCATGCATTGGCCTCCATCATCAATCTTAACCTCTTGTAATATTGCCTCCTTTGTGAGGCATCTTGAAGGACATTGTCTTCCAGAAGAAGCCTGCAACACTGGACGAGCTTGAAGAATCCATCTGTCAGGCATGTGCATCCATTTCCGTTGACATACTATGGGAGGTATGTAAAAATTTCGTTCTTCGTTTTCACCACCGTTGTACTGCGAAATGTAGATCTTTTGAAAAGATTGTGATGTGAATCCACGAGTATTTTTGCTACAAAACGTAAATGTTTTGTAGCTTTTAATGTGTATTTAGTTATCTTAATATCGTTTAAGAATCAATGTCATAAATTATATGTATTTTAAACTGTGACATGTTAATAGATTACGATTTTAATAGTGCTTTTTTAACGTTTTTTAAATAAATTTAATAATGACCATATAAATCTATAATGGCTAAAAGTATCTAACTAGCTAATTTATTTATTTGTAACTAACTGTTCACCCTTAAAAGTTATCTCAGCATATTAAAGTGAGTTATTGCCTTTCATTAATCTTTACCGTGGTCACAAAGTACAGCACAAAAATGTAAAAATTAATTCTTTGCATCTAGTGAGGCTAAAAGTAATACAAAACAACTTATCACCTCTGGTACTTTAGTGGCTTATTGGAACCTTTAAATATATAAACTGGGTTTCAAATCCAGGAAGTTATGACACTAATTGCAACAGTCAGGCAGAGCACAACTTTCAAAAATTTGCCAACTATGCCTACATCAAGCTTTCAGGTTTGTTTTGATCAGCAGACCTCTCTCTCTAGCATACAGCAGCGGGGGTAATATCCAGTCTTTTGTAACGAATCATGCTGATTATGATTTTACTTCCCATTTTAACCTATGGCGTTTGACATAAAATCTACCTGCTATTTACTGAAGCTCTAAACTGAGCAAGTACGTGACAAAAGGAGACCCCCCCCCAAAAAAAAAAATCAACATAAAGCTAACTGTTAGTAAAAACGTAAATAAAATGTAACTAATATTTTTTCAAATATTTCTAACTATTATAAGGGTAAAATATTTAATGCTACCGGATAAACTTTTTAAATTTGACGTTATTCTCAAATTTGTTTTATAATTGTGTTTATTAAATTATGTTTAATAATAATGCATTCTACTTGTGGATCTACTTTATTCGTTGGATGTTATCACAAAAGTGAAGTTTAGGCATAACTAATGTTTTTAATTGAATTTATTCAGTTCCCATTTGTTGATGGGTCCTTATTTTTTTTTTCATTAATGGTCTTTAAAAGTACTTAATTTCCATGTGCAAAAATGTGTATGAACCCTGAAATCCCTTTTGAGACCCTATTGGTAAAGGTACTAAGGATAATTTATTGAATAACTGGACAGCTTACTAAAGTTCTTCACAGTCCATGACCAATTTTCATGTATCTAGCAATTTCTAATCTTCAACACATAATAATATACATTTTTCAAGTTTTAACCTGATACTTAATTGAAAAGCCTTTGCGTACTTAAAATGTCTTACTGATCTAATTTTCAGTTGTTACAATATGTAGACACTACTATGCAAAACTTGAGCAACTTTTCTACTTTTCTGATTTTGGCCTTAATTTTGAAAAAATCAACCTCGAGGTATGAAATTAATACTACAAAGGTACAATGTAGTATTTAAACGATAAGGAAT